TTAATGGAAGAAAAAATTCTTTGCTGGATGTAGCCTGCCAGCAATGTAGTTTTGCTTGGTCTAAGATGGGAACCCCTGCATATCTTCAGTCTCCAGTAATGTCTCATTACACTGAAGCATTTTTTTTCTACCTTCACATTGCAGATTCCTGCTCTACAGCTTACTTCTAAGGGAGGTCTGTGAAAGGCAACCACAAGAAGCAAGCCTACTGTCAGCCTGTGGGTGTAAACTGACCACGCAAAGATTTATACTTACTTCACCCACAATTTATTTATTTATTTGTTTTAAGAAGGTGAAAAAACACTGTTTTAAAGACTGGACACACTGTTTTTATGGAAATCATTTTAAACTTTATTTTTTATGTTCCATTGGTGAAATAACCAAAGACAGGAAGTGACTGAGAGCACACAACAGCAATAGTCCAGAGCACAGAGAGGTTTGAAAGCAGATTCCATGGTTCGCTGGTCTTTGAAGTCAAGCAGAAATCATGGGCTGAGTTTTGGTTCTGCGTAACAGTGCTTGAACCTGGAACAGAGGAATGGTAACCCTAGCGCTTACCTGATACCCAGGAGAAGCCTAAAATCTGTGCTAGGCATGTGTCTTCTCCTCAGCCTTCTTCCCTAAGTACATTTTCAAGTATGGATATGGAAGCCTGTCTACCGGGACATCCAGACCATCACACATAGTCTGCAAACCAGTAACCAGACACAGCAACCTTTCAGCCACAGTTCATCTGGAGGCTGCTTGGGGAGGGAGTCTGCAAATTTAGGCAGATCACCCATTCCTTTCAAAACCCATGTATAGCAAGAACTAGTGGGATCTCTTATTGACAAAGATTCCTGGTGATAGTGCTCTGGTGATAGTGCTCTTACACATATTTGTAAAATCTGATTGCTATTTTAAAGGCTAATTTAAAACTTTATTGTAATGTCTAAGTTTTATACAGACCCGTCCACAATGTCTTCACATGTTCATATATAGCTCATGGCATATGTGCTATTATTTTACCTATGTGATAATAGAACAGTTGAAAAATGGTTTCATTTTACTGTCACATCAATAAGGGCTCCTGCTATGTAGTACCAAAACAGCTGTAATTCTCATATATCTTCTATTTGAGTTGTAGTGAAGTAACATTGACAGTCTGAGCATTACAACATAAATGGGAGATACTCTGTACTAGGAAAAAAGACAGTTATCCTAAATGGATATCATTATCCTTATCTGTCACTACTAGTAATTCTTAAATAGAAATTACCCTTAATATTTTTAAAAGAACACTGAAATCAAAAAAATAAAAGGAATCCTTCTCATCTCTGAATTATACTTTCAAAATTCTTATTTTTTTATTTTGCCTAAATTAAATATATATATTTTTTCCTTAACTATTGCCAGTAAAATATAAACCTTAAACTTTCCCCAGCTACAAAGATAACAAAGACTTTCAGTAGTAGATTGCTGATCTTGCTACCAACCATATTTTCTGTTTTGTTTTTTTTTTTTTTTGTGTACTACATGGAATATTAGCTTATAGTCTTAACACTTTCTTTTAGAGTAACATACCAGGCCAAATTGTGCATTTACTATGCATTATGCACTTACGCTAATTCACAGGTATTTTTAAGATATTATATATCATAACATTGGGACAGATTTTGCAGTCTCCTATCTCTGTTTCATCCTACCTTCCCTTTTTTTAATGAGGTACATTAAAAGAATCACCGAAAACCACCACAACATGGTGAATTCTCACTTGTTTTTTCACTTCTCTCACACTTAACCTACTGGGCAAAGACTTCATCAATAAAATGTGTTGTTGCAAACCTCCAGTGAACTCCCTCACAAAGCACTAAGATTAATCAGTTCCACCACACTCTGTGCTACAGAATTTGGATAACAGCTTTAGAAGAAGCTGAAAAGAAGTTTCTTGTTTTGTTTTTTATTACACTTTCATGTGGTGTATAGGTTATTTATGTTAATTGTTCTGACAGAGTATTATTGTGCTTTCCCATGTCTTTCCTATAGCTCTGTAGAGAGCTGTTTGACCTTGTACAATGCTCACCACCCAAGAGTGGTGTGTGAGAGGGGACAGCTGTATCTTATTCTGCATACAGAGGGGTGAATTGTCTCTTGGTGACTGTTGTAACTGCTGACAAACACTGACAAGGGCAGGCCTAACCAGCTAGCTTTTTGCAAAGTTATGCCAAAACAATCACAGAAGTTCTGCATGAAGCATTCATCTTCAGCCTCCCAGATGCCAAATACACTGGATTTTTTTTCCACAGGGATATTCCTAAACAAGCGCATTATTCAGGTACAAGATAACTCACTTGTCTATCTTGATATTCCATGCACCTTTTCTGCTAATATTTCCTCCTCTCAGCAACTACAACTACAATGCCAACACATTTCAGATTGGATGTGTGGATGACAGCTTAAGACAAACCCCCCCACACCCTCCAATAGCTATTTATGGTATGATTAGACAGGTCAAGTTTAATTTCAGCATTGTACATGAATTTGTTATCCAATCATTCTAATGATACACTACTTGAACCAGCAGTGGGGCTGAGTACGGAAAAAAATTTTGATTGTAACTTGTCTGCCGATGATTAGAGTTTATTATGAAAGAATACTAACGCAATCGTCATCCCTCTGCAAAGGTAGGGAATATTTGGGTCTTACCATTGTCATCATACCTGTAGCTGTGACAGATGAGTAGAGGCATGTCAAAAAGGATGCAGTGTTGCAGGAGGGATTGCTTTTCCTCAGGGTTAAGATAAGGGTATACTTAATCAAAATAGCATCTGAGGCCACACCTTGAATACTTTGTTCAGTTCTGGGCCCCTCACTACAAGAAAGACATTGAAATGCTGGCGCAGGTCCAGAGAAGGTCAACGAAGCTAGTATGGAGCACAAGTCTTATGAGGAACAGCGGAGGAAACTGGGGTTGTTTAGTCTGGAGAAAAGAAGGCTCATGGGGGAGTTCATCTCTCTCTACAACTACCTGAAAGGAGGGTTGTAGTGAGGTGGAGGTTGGTCTCTTCTCCCAATTAACAAGCGCTCTCTTCTCCCAACTAACTAACAGACAAAAGGTAACAGCCTCAAGCTGCACCAGGTGAGGTTTAGACTGGATATTAGGAACAATTTCTTCACAGAGAGGGTGCTCAGGCACAGAACAGGCTGCCCAGGGAAGTGGTGGAATCACCGTCCCTCGGAAGTGTTCACAAACCATGTAGACGAGGCCCTCAGTGACATGGGTTAGTGGTGGAATTGGCAGTCCTGAGGTAATGGCTGGACTTGATGATTTTAAAGGTAGTTTCCAACCCAGTTGATTCTATGATTCTAAAATAGAGCTCATCAGCTGAATATTGCTCTCCAGGTTACATAATCCAGCCCGAATCAACAAACTACCACTGGTTGTCTCAGAGAGTTTGTTTTGCTTTGCTATTTCGTCAGTAGTTGCATGTGTTTGAACAGCTCCTGTGTCTAGTGGAAAGAGCCTCCTTACTGGGGCATAGCTTTCTGGATGTCACACATGCCCTGCCACACATCCTGCCAGGGCCTGAGCACCTCCCTGCAAACAGCTCTTCAGTCAGTGAGATGTACTCTTTTGATAAGGGAGGCAGCACTGCCAGGTCATAACAGCAACAGGCTGAATCAGTGCAGTCAGATCAAAATGTCAACACAGCCACTGCATGAATTCATCACATCTGCATGCTAAAGTTTCTTGCAGGGAAGTGAAATACGCCAGTCCAGGGCTGCTCTGTACATCTGCTTTGCCACTTTGAGGCTCTTTGGGATGTCTGTCTATCATCTATGGGAAAAAACCCCTTTCCCAACACTGACTGTGAGCAGTCAACAGTGTCAGACAGCAGGACTGAAACACTTGTGCCACAGCAAAACAGAGCCTCCGTGTGTAGCCGTCCTGTGCCTGCACCCATTCACCCGTTTCCAGAATACCTCATGCTCCTGAATGTGCCAAACACAAGATTTGGCTCTAAGAGCTGACAGTCCCTACATAACTTCTGGAAAAACATAAACTGACAGATCACTTTTTTTTTCAATAATCCCCACTTACTCTGCTCTCCACAGAGCCAGGCACTGGTGTGCAGTCACCTTAGAATAAAATAAACTCTGTGTTTTAAATCACTTGTTATTTCTGTGCTGGCTATAGAACTTCTGAGCTGCTGGCTACCTTTGTCCATCCCAGCCCTACCCACAACAGACCTCCCCCACAAAATGTTAACAAGTAAAGCTGAGTCCTGAGGCTCTGAGGAGCTAGGATCAGAGCAGGGCTGGCTCCAGGCATGGCTCTGCTGGGGCTCCCGCCATAACCTAGCGACAATCCCCCCCCATCCCAGCTTCCCCAGTGGCAGAACATGTCCCAGTACGCTAACTCAACTACCTGAGCAAACCTGTCTCGTAACACTTGTTAATTACTTGCATATTTCAGCTACTAAACAGTTTACCCTCCATACAGTATTTACCTGCCCCACGATGGTATGGCAAGACCTGATTAAAGACCTGAAGTGGTATGAGTCTGCAACCTCTTTTGGGGGAGGAGGGAAACACAGACACTCAACCCACACACCACATTCAGAAAACTGAAGAGGAATGTTCTGCTGCTTCCCTAGTGTCATCCCTCCTCCCTCAAACAATACCCAGGTCCTCAACAAGTAAAAGCCAAGTAAGAACTGTCACGCTGTGTACTTGAAACCGCTGGCAAGGAGGGGCGTTCGCTGCAAGGAGGCTGAAGCAGAGCTTTCTCCGCAGACCTCCCGCCTTCATGAGAGCGCGGGGTGAGGGTGAAGCACCGGACCGCCCTCCTCAGCAACCTGCCTGTCGAGGCCCGCTGCTACCCGAACCGCGTTAATGGCGCTGGACGACACCCCCGACCCCGAAGGCGGCGGTTGAGCGGCCAGCGGCCACCGGGCTCCCCCTAGGGGCGGCGGGGAGCGGGCGGCGGCGGCGCGGGGAGACCGGCCTCAGGGGGGCTGCCTCGGCGCGGCCCGGCAGCTCCCGCGGTGGGGTGCGTGAAGCGCGGCCACCGCTGCACCCGCGGAGTAGCTAATGGTCGTTCCAGGTGCGGGTCCTCAAGGAGGGGATCCGTGCCTCCCGCAGGAGGGTTAGTGCCCACCAGGAAAGCAAGGTGGCAGCCGGGGGCTGGCACTGAGCTCCATCGGCACAGGGGTTCGGGAGTCTCATGGCTGCTCTTTCAAACCAGGCGGTCACTCCCTGATTCAGCGTGTGTTATAGCAGTCATAATAATAATACTAAATTCAGCAGTGATCATTGCATGGCCATCCCCCTTTGAAAGGCAGAAGGCTCTGGAATAACCTTAGCTACCTCAAACCACAGCTACCAACACATGGGGCCCATTAGCTCAAATATGATTTCCCCTGAAAAGCTGGTTAATCCAGTCTTCCTGCAGGCAAATTTAGATCGTCGTGCACTTTGCACGCCTGTGAAGTGCAGGATCGGGGCTCTGCGGCCGTGCTGCCATTGAAGATAATGGACAAAAAAGGCCGACCTTCTGGTGTGTGTACCGTGGTGACTCGTCAAGCGCTGGAAGCATGCCGCAGCTCTCAATCTTCGCCTCAGCCAGTGCAGTGCAAAGGAGACACAAGCCTCTGCAGAAAAAAAGGGTATCTGCGACCCATTGTTCGTGTGTTTGAGAGCATCAGGAAGCTGCTTACCACAGGAATCAGTCGCAGTTATAAGCATTGGTGGGTGCCGAAAAGCTTGAGGAGTAGGCTTCATCTTAGAATATATCTACATTGTAAATACATAAAGAAGAAAAGATTTGTTGTCTGACAGGCTGCTCGTGAGGTTTTAGGCTGTCATAAGCTGCTGCAGTTTGCTGCGGTCCCACGAATGTGGCACTTCAAAGCATGCCTCAGAGTTTTCTGATAGGTGAATTTCTAGTTACCAGTGAAGCCCTGTCTATTCAGGCCTTGAAGACTGAGCACTAGGTCTGGAATTAGCATGGTGGGGGCAGAGGAAGGGCCCTAAGAGCCAGCGAAAATTACACCCCTTGCTTTTATTCATGCTGTAGAGAGTACTACCACGTCTGCTCTGAATAACGTCTGTGTTGCCTCAGACTTCAAGTCCCATTACAGGTGATTACAATAATCAAGAGATAACAAATTCACGAATCATCCTACCCAAGTCCTTGTATGAAAGAAAGGGCATCATTTCCGACAGACTGGATGTGGAAAAATTAATTTCCTGGCATCCAAACACAAGAACAGCCATGCTGGTTGAGACAAGTCCATCCAGTCCAATAGCCTGTCTCAAACAGCAGCTGATGCCTGGGGAACAGCATAAGAGAGGGGTAAGCACGCAGTGATAGTTCCCTGGCATGCTGTCCCAAACTCCAGCAAGCTGCGGCTCAGGGACTTCCCTGAGACAGATGTGGTATCTTTAAATTTAATAGCCCTTGATGGATTTTTGCTTCCATGAATTTGTGTAATTGCTTTTTGAACTCATATCAATTTTTGACATTGCAGCATCCTGTGACAATTAGTGGCACGCTCCAAAAAAGCAGGGTGTAAAAGAAGAGCCCTTATTTTGTTTGTTTTGAACAGGCCACCTAATAATTTTATCTGATGCTCCTAGCTCTCTTGTTATGAGAGTCAATTACAATCATTCCCTATTTGCCTTCTTGGTGCCATTCATTATTTTGTAGACTTCTTTCACATCCCACTCACATTTTCAGTTTTCAGACAGATACTTCTAATCTATTTTGAAATCCTAATACAATAGCCATCCCACATCCTGGACTTTCCTCTGGCTCCATCATTACTGTTTTTGAGCTAGTGGGCTTGGACGTCAGGATGTAGGCATATCAGATGCATTTATACGAGGACGTAGCAGTGTTTTCGGTTTTGTTCCTTCCATACTAAATCCTAAAATTTTATTTGCCTTTTTGAATGCAGCTGGGGATGGATCTGGCATTTTCGTAAATATATCTAGATTTCATAGCACTTCAAGGATTTAATCTCTCAGATCTAACAGCTAGTCCAGTACCCTTGGCTCTGTATGTAAAGTTGTCTGTTTTGCTCATTATAGTACACATATCTACGCTGAAATTCCTCCTTCATTTTATCACCCGATTACTCAGTATCATGAGATGGTTTTTTTGTCATGTGTCATGTTTTTACTACCATAAATAATACCGTGTCACCCACAAGTTTGCTACCTTGCTGTTCATCCCCTTTCTAGAGTATGAGTCCAGCAGATGGATTTGATACCTACTTAGAATTCTAGCAAAACCAGTGGGGTGCTGGGGAGGGAGGAAGTAGTAGTGGGTACCTTGACTACTTTTTCTCTTTCCATCAGCACAGATTACATCTCACCTAGATTTGGATTGAGCCAGCTGCTCCTCAGGGAGGTCCTGAGAGGCTCTCTTTGACCCTGCAGCATATTTGGAGTGATGCTGGTGAAGGCTGGCTGGCATGAAGGCCAGCTGTTAAGCTGACATAACCAATTTACACTAGCTGAGGATCTGGCCAAAGACATGGAGTCCCAAGTGCTAGTCAGCCCATCACAGCAATGGGGACATCTGACACAGTAGTGCAGTGGCCTCAGCTGGACACTGTGGTGGAGGCAGATGGGATGGACTGAGTGGAGCCTTCAGGGCAATCCTGGTTTGAGGGCAAACCTGTGGAGGCAGCGCCCATCCTTTTGCCCACCTGGTGGTGGTATCATCATACCTTCCACCACACAAGACCTGACAGGTATGCTTATTATTAATAACGAGCGAGGCTTTTGGGGGCAGGCCTCATGCTTTCTCGCTGTTTGCTAGTGCTGAGTGAAGCTGGTCAGAACATGCTGCGAGCGGTACTCATGCAGTCAGAGCTGTCCCCGGTGCATCCCCATTCCAGCATGTCAGCCAAGCATTTAAGACACCTGCTTCTTTTCGTTCCTGTGCTGGCCATGGACTAATAGGGACAAACGGGAAGAGGACCTAGCAGAATGCAGAAAATAATCATCCTGTGCCAAAAGGGAATGTATGATCAAAACTACAATGGGCAGGCAAGCAGTGAGGCAGTGACCCGAGGCAGCGCAATGTGTCAGGAAGAGAGAGCAGCAGCCCAGGGACAGCAACAGCCCAGAGCCTCAATTTGTAATGAATGTGTGGACCACATGCCAAAAAGTCTCTCCCCACCTCCTTGCTCCAGGGAGCTCTCCTAATGTTCTTAGCCGCTTGGACATCATGAGAAAAAGAGCCTGCATGTTTCTAACACACAACCTAAGGCATCTGCTGAAGCAGAGAAGCACTGCCGAACCTGCCTCTAATGCAGAGTGCTCTAAACACCTGTGAGTCAGATGATGGGAAATTCTCCCTGTCCTCACAAGTGCAGATGACTTTGAACCTTCTGGGCATTTTAGCAGTTTACCATCTGCACATATAACCTTTTTTCTGAGCACATGGAAGTCTTGTAGGAGGATGTTAAATCCAGGAACCAAAATAAGGAATCATGTTTACACCTGCTACATCTGTTCAAGAATTTCCAGCCTCTATTGCGCTTTTGACTTTCCCATTGCCCCTCCTCCTCCCTCCTGTTTGGTCAAATGCCACCATGTGAAAAACAATCCTGTATTTTTCCCCTAAGTTTCACAGACTTTCTATCAAATCTTGTGAAAACTTAGCAAATGAAATAAGCTGTGAAATGGTCTAGCTATAGAAGCAAGTGCTGCCTGCAGTATCTCTTGCTTATCCAGGATTGTCTGGATACTGGGATTGATTGTGAAGAAAAATGGGACTAACTACCAGAAATATGGTGATTTTAGTTTTTTTAAACTAGAATAAAAATGAACAGTCAAGCCATTTCTGATACAGATAAAATCTTCCTGCAGGCCAGGTGCAATAAAACAATTTAATAAAAAATAGAATTATAGCACACAAAAAAATCAACACAAAGAACAACATCATCTTTGTTAGCAGATGCCCCAGTCAATAGTAACTGGTTTGTTATAGAAAACACACTAGTATCTGCTGTCAGAGGTGATCTCTTTTGCTGAAAGAATTACCTATATGATTACACCTACCACAGAATCAGAGCCATAGATATGAAACATTTATGAAAAGGAGAAAAGCTGCTTGACTTGTTGGGAGTGATAGCAAAATAGTTTCTGCTGAGCAGAATTCAAAGGAGATTCCTTTTCCTTATTTTTACCAAATTTTATGTTAAGATTGTTGTTGGAAATATTATACAATATTTCTCAGTGAAGCAAGTGCTTTCATTAAAATTATTTCCAGAGTAAATTTTTATAAATTTTATAAACAATCAAATTAGTATGTTGATAAGATGAGGCAAAATAAGCAAGAGATGCAAAAAAAATATTGGATAAATTCAGACATTTTTCTCTGAGTAATCTATTTTTGATAATGGCTTTTCTCTTGGAAGATTTACACTGGCTTTGTGACTACATGAGCTGGATTATTAATAATATGGGCAAGTTGGCAGTACTGGGAAAAATCCTCTGCTCCCCATCATTTCCCAATAAAGCACAGTTAATGGAAGAAAAATGCTTTCATGGGTCAGCAGGTAACTAAAGGAAGTACCATGTAGTGATTGTGGCATTTGGTGTTATGATAGGGCCTCTGTTCCTTTGAATTGCAGCGTGATGCTTATGTGACACATACTTTCTAAACAGCAAGAGAAATTAACAATATTAAGGTCAATATAGGACATATTTGGGAAGGGCTGAGGCAAGTCCTGTGGTCCTAACTCAGGCAAATTCTCACTGACAGGTCTTGGCCAATACAATCTGCAGGTGTCCACTTTCTTTCAGCATTTAGCACAGTATTCAACCAGAAGAAAACAGTTCAGTAATTCATTAGGATATGATCATGCCGGGCTGGTTACTAATTGTTCAAAATACCATTGGAGGCACTCCAGGATGCTGCACAGCACTCCACAGCTGGCAGCCATGGTACACAGGCGGGTATGCCACCCAAATAGAGCTGAATAGCATGGGAGCCGGGGGAGGAAAGCAAAAATTCCTTGCTTCCAAGCCCATGGGAACCTTCCTGTGCTGTGAGCAGGGAGCTGCAGGTGCAGAGGGCTGCAGGCAGGATGAGTGCAATGCGCAACCCCACTGTCTCGTGCCGAAGAGAAATGTTAGTGGCAAAATAATTTTACTCCTGGCTGTCAAGTGGGAACTGCGGGGTTCCTCTCCTAACAATGAAAGGCAGACAACTGTGCATTAACAGCCCTGCCGGTGCACAAAGTGGCCTAGCCTGTTATTAAACTGTACAGCTAAAGCTGTTGTTCTCCACTTAGCTGAAAGTGAGTTACCATATTGCAGGTCCCCCAAGACATTCCCTACCCTTGACATATCCTCTCCCTCACATGAGTGGTAATGACTGGGATCAGATCCCTCAAGCTTCTGCCTGGGCTGCTTTACCTTGCTTTAGAGCAGCTTCTTTGAATAGAGAGAGCTGGTCTTTTGTTCCCCCCTTCTCTCTGCTTCCCCCCAACACACGCCCCAGCCTTTATTCCTGAAATACTTTTGTGGTCGTAAGGATCTTTCTCTGCAACAAATACAGCCAAGATAACTCAGTTGTCCTCTAAAGCAGGTTGCAGGTGGGGTTCCCATGCATAGCATAGGTTGAATTTTAAATGTATGCAAATAAGCATGAGTGTGCTTGACCCCGTAGCACAGAAGCATGAAAGCATGAGGATTTACTCACTGACAGTTTTTTCATGCACTTTTAAGTTCACATTTTCAAATTTGGCTCTGGAACTAAGAGAACTGTAGTAATAACAAGATTTCGACATCCTGGGAAATTTCACAGCCATACTGAGTAAAGACTTGTGCCTAAAAAGCTGTACAAAGAAGATGTAGATGTATTTTGTTACACACACATTCCTGGTTTGTTTTTTTCTAAGGAAAAGATCTGCTTAGTATTAATCTCACTTCCTCAGGATAGACTGGATGGCCTTCACACATAGTGCCGTAACAGATAAAATCAGTCCTTTCCCTCGCAGCCTTTCTCTGTCACTGCTTGGCTTTGCTTGTATTGTGTGTATCTAGTCTTGATCTGTCGCTTTCTCCAAGGCCAGAAAAGTAAACTCATCCTCCTGACTCATAGCTCCAGATGGATTCAAGCTCAAACACGCTGTCCCCCTGGAATTTGGCATATGTAGGTTTATATGCCCTAATCAATCAGGCTGATTTCAGTTAATCCTAATCGTCCTATTAGGGTTCCCAGATAGCAACAACAGCAGCTAGAAATCCCCAAGCAGCCTAATTGACTTCATCTAATTACATTCCTTCTTGAGATTTCCATTAAACTACCCCCTGAATTCATTACAGTGGTTGGCTGTAGGTTTTTAGGACTTCTTCAAAAACATATGGGATGGCTCGGTTCTAGGCAGCCAAAGTAGTTACTATATATATAAGACCTTGCCACCTCCACATAGTAGCTATTTGTCAGTCGTCCTGCTTTAGCATATATCAGATGTGCCGTCTAATCACTGTGGGAGATACCAGTTTTGACTTCTGGCACTTAGGCTCATTTCTGCCATGTGCTGCCTGTGGTTCTTTCCTTGTAGCACTGAATGAACCGCACAAGTCAGAGACTGCCAGCTCCTATTAACCTTTCACATAAAGGATTTATAGATATGTCTCATTATAAGGTAAGGAGCTGACATTCATCTCAAAAGCAGTTTGCCTGGAAAAGAACGCTCTTTTGTCAGTATTTACCTTCCTCTGTGCTCTTTCTGTGGTAGTAAATTGTAAACTGCTCAGCCAGGATGGCATTTGTCATAGTGAGGTTTCTTTAGCTAATTTGATCATTTCTTCCATTAAAGTAATGCTCTGGCTTCCCAAATGTTGCTAAGCTTTCAGTTCCTGACATTTGCAAAATGCAGTAATATAGCCCTTAAACAAGGCATGGCTATCTTTCACCCTTGGAACTTAAAAGGGAGAACTTCTGGGGCAAGGATAAAATTGTTGAGCCCAGGCTGGTTTCTTCTGTACATGCAAATGAGAGCAGCTTCCATGAAACCCGGGAAGGCTGGAAGCACAGGATCCTTTTCATAGGTGATTCCACACACAGTATGCATGCATATCAGTGCTTTGAATGGAGTTCACTTAAGAATGAAAACAAAATACACAGTACACACTGGAAGACAGGCACTTTGACAACTGTCAGGCTGGAAAGTGCTTTATATGTAAGACAAGTCGTTGTGTTCAGTCTGTTTGGAAACTGATGCCACTGCTCGCTTTTATGGACAGTTCCTCTAGGTGGAATGACACCTAGAGTCATTCACACAGAAACTGCCAGACTGATGTCAGTAAGACAGCTGAGTGTTCAGGTTCATTGGAAGGAATACAATACTTTCACTAAAATAAAATCTTTGACCATGCACAGAGGAAGCAGGTCCGAAAGGAACATACTAGTGCCAAATATTTACTCTTGCATCTCTGCTTCACAGAGGGTGTGTTCCCTTTCAAGGCAGAGTCAAGGACAGTCAAGAACTTCTGTGTGAATAACACCTGATTGCTGCAGAAAACAACCGTACTTAAGACAAACAATGTATGTGGTGAGTTTAACTAAGTTTAAGACTTTGTACATCACAAAGTGATAAAGTGATGATGGGGGAAGATTATATTTTACAAAAATATTGATGTTTATACTAGATTAATGGCTGTTTGCCTGTAGAGACAAACGGTGAACCCAGTATCTATCCAAGGTCAGGCTGTGTCCGCATTGCAGACACAATAAGTAACTAGAAAGTTTTGTGCACAAGGATTTGGCCTAAATTGGTATTTCTAAGAGCTGGCTAAGGTTGCTAATTACTTCTCTGAATAACTTTGAACTGACGCTTCCTGAATCATTTTCATTCCAGGGGGATTAGTAAATCTTTTTAGTAAAAGGAACACACAACAAAACTTATAAAATGCAGTTACAAAAACTTCCTATAATAACTGAATGTCAGTTTGGGGCTACTTTTCTTGCTTTTCCTGTTCTCTTTAGGCACTAACATATAAAAGGAAGCTGGGGATGGGAGGAGTGGAAGAAGTAGGAAGGAGGGGGGAGAAAAGGCCAAAAGCAAAGAGAATACAAACTAGGACTGAAGAAACCGTAAGTGCCTTCTCAGAATTGGAGACAACAGTGACTTTATCAGAGATGCAGACAGTACTTTGTAGGCACTGGGAGAATCAAAGGTCTTCCACTCACCAGAAACACTGGCTGAGGCTCTTTGTATTGTTTCAAGCAAACACAGGCAGGCTTTCTACAAGTGCAGTATACAGTTGGATGCAATTTAACCTTATGTAAAACACTTGACTCCTTATATTAAATATTATGCTTTCCAGATTATTTACATGACACAAACAAGGGAGGGTCTCAGTGATTTTGGGGGGTCACTTTTAGACTCTTTGGGAAAGCACACCTTTGCTGTGTGGCTTGGTTTTAAATTTTAAACATTCTGACTTCAGTCCAGAAAAGTCTGAGCTGACATGTTTCTCCTGCTGATATGCAGAAATTCCACATCCTGAACTTCTTCCTTTTCATCAAATGATCAAATGATGTGGTCTAACCCATCTTTTGTCCCTCCTGCTAAAGTACAGAACCACACAGAAGAATGGAAAACATGCAAATAAAAAAAGCTCCTGAAATTGTGAGGAGCAGAAGTGGATTATGCTAACTCAGGTAACACTTCTTTTGAAGCACTTAGACACTGATTTCGTAGAATCATAGAACAGTTAGGGTTGGAAAGGACCTTAAGATCATCTAGTTCCAACCCCCCTGCCATGGGCAGGGACACCTCACACTAAACCGTGTCACCCAAGGCCCTGTCCAGCCTGGCCTTGAAAAATTTGTTCATCCAGTCACAATTTCCACCTCTCTCTGTGGGTGTGGACAGGTGTCTATTTGCCTGTTCTCAGGACGAAATCTCTGAAAATGTTACACAAAGAATCTGCTCAGTAGGGCTGAAAGCTTCTCAGTGTTTGTTTGGGATTTTTAAGAGCATGTTATTTGTAGGCCCCTGGTACTCAGTTGGGCATAGCTTTTGGGGTCCAAAGCCACATTAGGCAGAAGTGCTTAGACGCTGTGGGAAGCCTCCAGATTTCATCATCCATACTATCTCCTGCTGGTACCAGGACAAGTTCTCTACCTGTTTCTGGTTCACCACTCACAGCTGTGCCTACACTCACAAATGCAACATAGCTGCCGACCTGCATGTGGGGAACAGCTGGCTCCCTGGGAAGCCCACGGAAGTCAAGGGGAGGACAACATTAGTGAACGACAGACTACGGGGAGGTCCCCAAAGTGCACTTTTGTTCATCTAGTTAGCCATCAATTTCACCGGCTCAGCGTGTTGGCTGACAGCTCCCTGAGGTTTATGAAAAACAGGAGGGCACACTGATGCTTTCTGTTGCACCAACTGGGACAACCGGAAAATGGTGACATTCCCAATTTCATGGATACAGTACTGTCTTCCTTCCCTTACAAACAAAAGGGCTGCATTTTTTTTTCTCACAGTAATGCTGAGCATGTCACAATCTAAGGAGGCTAGAGATAGGAAATGGCTTATTCTGGGGGAGAAGCCAGTGCTTTCTAGGAGAGGAGTGGGAAGCTGGGATGCCTTATATATCTGACAGTGGGTGCTCAGTGTGATTTTGAGATCCAGGGTAGTTCTGCTGAGGAGGCCAGCTCTGGGGGTGGGCATATCCTCAGTGCTCTCAGACCAGCTGACCAAAATCCTTTGGTGTGAAAATTAATCCTTAGCATTTCTTTTCCTTCAGTGGGACTGTCTGTGCACAAATGCCCTGTGTGAGGGATAAAGGTGGACCCTACAATATCTCTTCCTTTGCCTGTCATATATTTTCTTTACTGAGACAAGCAAGATGAAAGAAAACATCTCCTGTTCCTGCAACGTGAGCTCAGGCAAAGTTGATCTCACTGTGAGAAAGCATTAGCTTCTTAATTTGTGCTATTGAAACTGTCTGTGGACTTCCATTTGGTTGGGAAAGGAACTCCAAAGTAAAACAACTGCCACGCAGGGGAGGCTGCAGATGGCTCAGTAGTAACACACATACTGTACACCTGCACATGTTTGGCACAGAAGGGTTTGAGTGCAGATTTGTGAGCTAGCCAAGGGAAGACAGATTTATTTTTTTGAGGAGGCGGGAAGATCAGATCACCTCCAGGTGCTACCCTGATAAACAGAGAGAATAACTCACCAGTCCTCTACAGTTCTTCTCTGATCAACTTTATCCTTGAGATAGGAATTAGAGGGACAGATATGTTATCTGGGAAGTTGTCCAGATTAATTTACAAGGAAGTTAGATACTCAGCATAGGCCTGCTGTAAATAGGTTATTGGGGGTTGGTTTCTTCTCCCCCCTTTTTTTTTGAGGGAGGAGCGTGTTTGTTGTTTGTAACAGTATCATAAGCAGTTGGGACACCAGACACAGCTCAAGCTCCCCAGTTCTTTCGTAACTGCAGATTTTGGGACCTGGATGTAGTTTATTAATAGGCAAACCTCTCTTCATTTTGCTTTTTAGGTCTGCTCTGCAAAATGAAATTCAAAGAGATTTTGTAAAATAACCAAACACTCAACCCCCCTTTATTTCATTCAGAAAAAGTCCTCCTCCAAAAGTCTGTGTTAGGGAGGAAGCTCTGAGGGTATTTTGCACTAGCTCCAGGAGGCTGAGTTCAGCTTGCAGTACAGAGAACAGCAGCAGGTGTCCTGCAGCTCCTACCCAGAGCCCAGCAGTCAGCAGCAGAAAATGGGAGGTCAGCAAGAACAGCGTGAAATGCTCATCCATATTTCTTCTTGCCATGTACCTCTCAGCTACCATGCAGCCCACAGTCCTAGCTGGCTGTACTTTTTAAGGCAGGTATAGCCCAGCTTACTTAGGTTGGACATATCACCGTGGGGGGCATCACAGTCCCTGAGCTACCTTGCTTGGAGCAAGTACTGCTACACGGCACTGAGCTGTTCCACCTGGGTGTGCCCTTCCTTAAAACCTTCTGGAGTTTCTGCCCTGTAAAACAGAAAGGTCTTGAGAGAGGTGCATGCAGAAGGAGAAAGATAAGAAATGCTCATCATTGCTCCTGTTGTTTCAACTAAAGCCCACAGGCAACATGTCTGGGGGTGGAGCAAAGCCCTTTCTTTACAAGGTGGTCATAGCAGTTCAATGTTGTTTTTAAAACCAGTGATTAAACTAGTGTAAAGCACTGTGTGGTTGCTGTCACTTCAATTTAGCATTGGCTGGTATGGATGACAGCTTGCATCGATTCTTGTCTGTCTAATCTAAATTGATACAAGCCTGATTTCAAATGAACTAAGCCTGTCTGAAGAGTGTTATGCACTTTTTTAAGCTCATGAATTTAAAAGAAAACCTTTGACCAAAAGGCTGCAGGTTTTTCACAAAGACAAAACTCACAGCTCAATACTGATTTTGACAGTTCTCTCATTAACCTTCACTGCAGACAGCTGAGGAAAGTTATTTAGGGAGCGAATGGTCAATACTTTGCCTAAGTAAATATATAACACAGACAACCTAGAAAGAGATACTTATTTTGCGTGACAGCAAGAAGAATGAGAAATGATAAGCCAGAGAATTCATCTAGAATACTTTCTTCGTTCTAAGTAAGCTTCTCTATAGACAAAATGAACACCAAAGTAAGCCTAATGCTACATGAAAAGGCAAAGACATTACTTCTGTCCTCTTTTTTGGACTGTTCTTAAACTCTTCAGAGCACCCAGTTCTTTCTCCTTTCAGCTGAGCAGGACAGACTGCTGATCTCACCCAGCACTGTCACATATCTGGGGCTGAAGGAACCATGCAGTGTTGAACCATATGAACAGAACTAAAGGAGAAAAGGACAGAGGAAGCAAACAGGAAATGCAAACACAGAGGACCAGAAGAGTGAGACTGCAGAGAAAGACTTCTCAAGGGTTTGATTGGCAGCTGGTGTGCTTGGACAACTAGGACAAAAAGCTGTGGTGTACACACAGTTCATGTTGTATGCAGTGCTTGTCTGCCAGTGTTCAGGCAGTGCCTGACACAGGCCTCTCTGAGCGTAAGCAGTTGTGTGTGCACTCCTTCCACATTTTGGGACAGCTGGAAGCAAGTGCCTCCAGCCCAGAAGCAGTGTAGCCAAGTCAGCTTGGGTTCAGCACTATGCTATTCATCCAGCTTGATAGAGGAGACAGATTACTCCAAGCCTAGCTCTCCACCGCACCTTGCTGTGATGACTATGCAGACGTACAGGGCAATATCCTCTATGGGATGCAACACATGCAATTGCAGGCACTGGCTCTCAGCAAAATATTTCACCTGCTTCATCTCCTCCTGAAAAGCAGGAGGACTGCTACATGCATGCGCCTGTGCAGAAGGGAGAGCCAGCCAATTCAAATTCACATGGGTATGCTTTTTAAAGAAAAGTAACAAAGTTCACTTCTCTTCACAATTATTTTTAATATTTTTCTTTCCAAGTGCTCATCGCATGTGTTGGCTTAAGATCACATAATGCAAAACTTTCAAATTGTTCGTAGCGCTCAGGCTTCCATGGACCTTTATCAAGCACAGCCAGGTAAAATCCAACAACAAGCAGGAAAGAAATGTCAGAAAACATATAATGTTTGCATACCTTAAAATTCCATTGGGGAGAGGGAAAAATAACAAGTGCAAACAGCAGACCTTCCTGTTCACCGTAGCTGTGTTCCAGCAGACTGGTAGTTCTCACAGCTTCAAGAAGGCTATGTTAACCTGACACAGAAAATGGCTACAATTTCCAGGTGCCAAACTACAACCGTCCTTGCGGTTTGACAACCAGAAGCACAGTGCTTAGTTAAAACAGACAACTTTGCTCCAGCCTGGCAGAAGTGATAAAATACATAGTGAAACTTCAGAGTGAGCTACTCTCTCTCTCCTACTCCCCTTTTTTGCTATATTTTTCCTCTGGTGGGTTGAGGTACCCAGTTGGAAATCCCAAAATAGAGGAAATCCAGAAGCCTGCTGTTTCACTCGATCAGCAAAGCTTCGCCTCTGGGCTGAGATGTAAAAGTTCTTGGGGTTTTGCACTCCTCCCCCGCAAAGCTTGGCCTGGTTTGTAGTTTTGGAATAAATATGGAAAAAAGAGCCTGTCCCTTTAATGCAGAGGAAGTGAGAAGGGCAAAACTGTTCCCAAGAAGTCAGTAAAAGTGGTAATGCCTATTAATGATTGCAGCAGAGTGTTTTTCAGTTGCCCTATTAAAGGAGCTCTTTGTCCTAATAAATACCAACGAAAAAGCTTGCTCTCAGAGCACCTTCCCTGTACTTTATTTATAATGAGCCTTCTAATGAGTACATAGTGTTTATGCTTCCTTGAGAGACTCATCACTCCCTCTCTCAGTCTGTTATTTAACATACAGTACTCCATGAAGGTGTCCCACTTCATCCCCAAAGCCTCCCCAACCCCTCCCACACACAAACGTTCGTGTAACTGTTTCAAGGGCATATGCAACTGTGAAGGAAAAGTGAGCACTGGAAAAGAAGCAGACATCCCAAATGTTACGCCCTGCACAGCAGGAAGAGGAGCAGGCAACCCAAATTGTCAGTATGGCAGCGTAGGCCCACCAAGGACAGCTCTAAAGCAGTTCCTACATGTCTTCAATCAGGAGTGTTCTTTCATTGGTACTTAAACAGGTCATAACCTGTCTGTAACATTGGTAAAATACCTGGTAAACCACAGTAATTTGATTGTGTCAGCTGGGTGTCCTAGCCCTTAGTAGCTACTACTGACAACAAGACCTAAGAGTGCTCAGCCACTGAGATTCATAGGTGTCCTCCGCTGGTAACAACATGATAAAGCAAACCTGTTCCTCTTTGATGCGTAGTTTTAGGGGGATTGTTGAAACAAAGAGTTCACTTGTCAAGCAGCATTTTTGCCAAAGCTCCTCATGGCTGCAATTTGCCATGGCACATTCTGTATCTGGCTGTGTGATTCTATATGTGTGTGACATGAGTTGAATTAGTAACTCTGTGAGGCTTTACGTGGTTTTCTCTTGCCATTCGAAGTCATGCCTTGAGACTGGGGGATCCTACATGAGACAGCCCTAATGTGATCTTGTGAAAGAACAGAAGTAATTTATGTTACCAGGGTGCCTGAGAAAAAAAGGGAGACTATTACAGGGTTGTTCCATTGCCTCAGGCCAGGAGATACACTCTGAAGACTCTCTTTTATTCTGTGTTTTTCTTTTAAGCTTTGAAGCTAAGAATAAAAGGGTTTCCCATCCTTAAGCATATCAGTTACCTATCCTCTTTCTAAGCCTCTGCAATGCCTGTTTCCACAGGAAACCAAAATTAGGCAGAAGAAGATTACATAAGGAGATTTGGTATCAGTGTTTGACATTGACTTTTTTATTTGCTGCCCATCATAAACAGAACCCCATAAGCATAAAATAATAACAGCAGTAGTCTTTGTGGTATCTAGCACATTGGCATTTAGAAAGTCAAAGTTGTGTTTGGGATTGAGGAATTAATGGAAATAAAAGGGCTCTTTGATCTGGAAGCATAAAAGAAAGATGCTCCTCAAAGAATACTTTTCAGTGCTTCATGCAAGCAAGCAGACTGATGATTCACTTCATCTTGTTTGGAGGGTGCTTCATTACGTAGCTGAGCCCCAGTGGCAAGGGACGATGGACTCCTGGTCCTCTCACACCTCATCTTGGGCTTTGAAAACTGCACTGACCAGGAGAAAGATAGTGAAAGATAGTTCCTAGATCAAACTGGGGTGTCCCATGTAGCAAAGGCTTGAACCTTTTGTTCTCCTGGAAATGAAGCAGCACTGGGAGCACTGAAGCAGCACTGCTTCTGGGAAAGATTTGAGCACAGGCTTGAACCCTTCAGAAAGTGTACAGCCAATTTCTAAACAAGCCAGAACTTGCACACTCTGTTCACATTCAGCTTCAGATGTGACACAACTCAATAATCTATCCTGGAGATGACAAAAAACATCTGATCCTTGTCTGGACCATTTTTCCAAGCAAGCAGAAGAGAAAATGCTCTGAGGAACAGATGATACCTTGCTGAGAAAATAAAAATATGTCTATGAAGCATCTGTACTCCCAGTGTCTGTTCACCCACTCTATCTCTTCAACTTTTCTTTGGATGAAGAAGAAACAAAACACCAGAGAGCTCACCTGCAGAGAAGGGAAGATAACTACATTTCTGCCTTTCTTATCAGAGAATGGGACAGATAACTACATTTCTGCCTTTCTTATCAGAGAATGGGACAGTATGCCCAAATTTTTGTGAAGGACATCCAGAGGATTCAGCAAGGTGTGAGGGAGCAATCACAACTATAAACCTCAAAACACAGCCACCGTCAGAGCTCCAGTGGATTTTTCAAACTTAAACTGTGCGCCTGCTTTTAATAGCTGGCAATTATTGCTGACTCAGAGACCATAAGGATGAAATTAGAAATAAGATACACCTTCAGCCTTGATCTGGGACCTTTCTTTCTCATTTTTTGAGAGTTGTGATGCCCAGAGAGGTTTGGATTATACCCACTGCTGTATGAAATGATGACTCCAGGACAGCACTTGAGGCGCTTCAGTCCCCTTCCCTTAGGAAGCCAAGTGTGGTGAACAAGGCCCTGTGCGCTTTGAGAGATCCCAAACTGTTTTACTTAATGATATCATAGACAGGCGGATATTACAGTGTGCAAATAAGTACACTTAAAGCAAAGTGTGTTTCCTATTCACTTTACAGTCAGGCATATCTAAGGGTCTAAGCCTTGTCATTAGGTTTGGCCACTTTCTAGTATACATTGCACAACAAGGAGTTGTGCATTACCTTCAGAGCCCACTAAAAATCCACAAGCCCATTTCTGTAATAGAAGACACTAAGAATTTCAACAGAAGTAAAAATGTGCTCTAAACCAGTGGCAGGACAGCACTTGAGCATAATACATGTACAGAAAATGTGTATATTTAATGTATGTATATATCTACTGATTTATTTAACCATAAATCATATAAATCAGTTATAAGACTTTCCTCAAGAACATGGCTAATGTTTTGGTTGGTCATTATAAACATCATTTGATCTTAGGCGTGTGCATACACACATGTATGTTTTTGTGTGTAATGACACATTCTGAATCATTGAAACGATGGGCAAGTCTTCTACCTCCCAGCGTTTCCCCACAGCATGTTATCTCACAGTTTCATGAAACTTGCCAAGTCCTTCGATACTTGTATACTACTTATTCTTTCATTGCAAATACATCACTTACAACTAATGATTAGTTCGTATGAGTGAAGACTGTAACCAGTACCTAGCTCCCAGAATAGCAAGAAAAATTACTTTTGTGGGCTGTTTTAATCTGATGACATTTACAGTCTCTGCCCAGGAAGATCTGAATTATTAGTAAGGCTAAATGCATGAAAGAAGGGAGCTTGGATTATCTTCACTGAGCAGATCATGTGTTCACAACAGCAGAAGGGTGCTGCTTTCTTACAGCAGCTTTACCAAATGTCCAGTGAATCTTGTACACAGTAAATAAAGTTCTTGCTTTTAAAGATGGTGCTGGGAGGAGTTTATTCTCTCTGGCAATTGAACATCAACTGTTCCAACTTATCAAAAGAGAAAAGCTGTTTTAATTGCTGTATTACCCAGAAGAAAAGCATTCATTTTAGTATCCATTTTTATCTACAGTGTTCTTCAGGCCAAGATAAACCTTTTTCCATCTAACTGCTACCAGAGGTTGTTTTTTTTCTAACAATTAATTTCCATCTGTTTCATCACCTAAGCAAGCACTCAGTAGTCTATTTTTTTTTTAAGGCATGGGTTTTGGCAATGCCTTTCATCTTGTCTGGGTTTTGTATGAAACAATACTTTCTGTAGTTCCTCTGGAAAGAGGAGAAGGTAGTGGGAAACGGGTGGAAAGGACACATCGCCAATTTGATTTTGCTCTGTTGATTAGAAGCACTAGAAGTAACTATTCCAACTCTGTCTCACTGTTTGTTTCTGCTGTTAGGGTGCTTGAGTGATAAGGAAGAGTTCTTTTCTCCTCCTCCTCCTCCTATCTGGCTGAAAGGGTTATATTTAAATAATGGTTCCCTTAGTCCTGTCTGTTCTGCAAGTTGATGCTAAAGTGGTTGCTTCTTTATTGTTAAAGTAGATAATAATTTTTAAATGCAGAGCTTTCACAGCAGGCAGCTGAATGGCTGGACAGATGGCTGGGTTGTTATTTGGGAGTCCCTGAGCTAGCAACTCCTTAGTCATCAAGGTTCTCCAATTATTGTCATCTCCCACTTACATGTGTCTCCATTGATTCATATCAATATCACAAAGGGCCATTTTTTTGGATTTAACCCTAAGAAACAACGATGGCAGAAATGTGCGGAAATAGCAATTTATGATAGCCGGAAGTGGCCCCTATCATTGGAACTAAGATTAGCTATTGCTTTTGTTGTTGTAGGTTCAGCAGTTCACAGTAAATGGCATTCAGCATTGATGACAAAAAAAAAAAAAAAATCAGATATTTTAACAGCAAGGCATTAGTACAGACTTCTAAAAACAAGACTGTCAGGGAACAACTTCTTAATCTCATTTGAATTCAAATGCAGCTTTACACGTGTTGGTTACATATGGTTTTTCACATTAAGATGTAAAGTTTATACAAATAGAAGGTGTGAATGGTTCCCCTGAGTGCTGATGACAAATATTCCAGTATCAACACTTAGCTGTTAAGCTTACCTTAAAACTTGTTGGAGTGGTAAGCTTCTGGTAATTTCTCTGCCAGCATTAGACAGGAAACAGTGGAGCTTCTGTGTACTTCTCACAGATACTAACTGGAGCTCAGACCATGTATGAACTATCCTTCTCCTGCTGTTCCAGCTGGCTGATAATTCATGATTAAAGATCCACAACATGCGAAGTCAGAGCCCAGAATCATTGAAGGAAGTTGAATAAAAAAAGGCCTTGGAAGTCATGTGAGTAGACAGCAACAGTCTTAATTCAAAGGAACCATTAAAGTCAATTAATCCTTCTTGACTGGGACTATAGCTGCAGATTATTTTTTTTTTAATATATAGTCTGTCAGGAAGATTTCCAACAAGACTCCAATAAAAGAAATTGCAAAAGAAGAGAAAAGAAGAAAATAAAAAAATAACATCCCTACTTTTAAAGGTCTCCTAGATATCTTGATATTTCACTAATGGGTGTAGCAGAGATACTAGAATGCCCAGTTTCCACAGATGATAACTTTATCTGGCATAGTCATCACAGTGATCTCAGACCAGACAAGGAGAATAAACAATTGAGCTAATAAGGCTTTTCCTTCTGCAATTTCTTTAACTCCTGGTGATCTGTAACACTTCTGTGGAAATGATGGAGACTTTTTAGTAATGGAAACCTAAGTCAGTTTTGTTAGTGAAAACCTGGGGGATTTTAGCCAGAATCACAAGAACACAAATTAATTCTCTGTATCAGATTTCATTACAGGAAAGCTTATGGAATTTTTCACAGTGGAATCTGAAGGAATGAGTCTGAGCAAATGTTTAATATCAAAATGTCAGTAGAAGAGGTTTTAAAATACATCATAACAATTAATAGTAAACCCCTACATTCATGTGGTGTTACCCAAAAGTTCCGAAGAAAATAAAATATTGAAAACTGGTCTCCATCTCAGACATACAGAAAGTGGCAGAAGTGATACCACTATTTGAAAAATGGTTCTGGAACAGAGGTGGTCCAGAAAACTAGACACAATTTCTTTGGTTTCCAGACCAGATATACTACTTGCAACTAAGAACATAATATATTTACACATGGATAAATTCAATATAATGGCACAGTCAACAAAGCTTTTGAGGAAGGAAGTCACACCACCAAAATCTATGAATGTTGACAGAGGATAAACAGATGGAAAAGGGTGACCACACTGGTACAGTTTACTTGCATATCCAAAAGTTTCTTATGAAGTCTTATAGCAAAAGATGAGATTTTCATGTGGGGTGGTAAATTGGTATAAGGTAGGAAGCAAAGGAATATAGGACATGAAGGTGCATAGGACTTGCTGAGGTGCATCTGTGGATCCCCAGGGAACTAGAAGATGAAGTTGCTAAGCCACTATCCATCATATTTGAGAAGTGGTGGCAGTCCAGTAAAGTTCCCACTGACTGGGGGAAAAAAAAATGCTAGGAGGATTAGCCAGGTTAATAACTGGTTAAAAGGGTGATGTCATAGTCAGGGGTTTGGGTGCCTTGAACACGGGACCCAAGTTTGTAGGCTAGGTCTATGGGGGGCTGGTGGAGCTGGTCTAAGGGGAAGAACAGTTTTGGTAGGAGGCTTGCCAAACTGGTCAAGGAGGCTTTAAACTAGATGTGTTGGGGGAGGGGGGCATCATTCCATCCCAACACACCCAGTCAGTTGCCAGAACCTATAATAAATGCTTGGAACAATGTAGATATATTCCAGCCGCTCCAGCCAATGAGCCGGCTTCATTTGGAGCTCGGCTCAGATGCCTCTATACAAATGCCCGTAGCATGGGGAACAAACAAGAGGAATTAGAAATGTGTGCACATCTACGGGGGTATGATATAATAGGCATCACAGAAACATGGTGGGATGGCTCCTATGACTGGAGTGTTGGAATGGAAGGTTACAGGCTCTTTAGGAAAGGCAGGCCTGGCAGGCAGGGAGGGGGAGTTGCTCTTTATGTTAGGGATAGGCTGGAGAGTATGGAACTGTCTGGGGACAGGTGAGCAGTCAACAGAGTTTGTGGGTCAGGGTTAAAGGGAATATAGCTATGGGAGACATTACTGTGGGGATCTGTTACAGACTGCCTGATCAAGAGGAACCTGCGGATGAAGCACTCGCATAGACAGATAGGAAAAGCCTCACGCTCGCAGGCCCTTGTTCTCATGGGTGACTTCAACCTCCCTGACATTTGTTGGAAGGACGGTACGGCCTGGCACAAGCAATCCGGGGTTCCTCAGTTGTGTGGAAGACAACTTCCTTCTGCAAGTAATAGAGGAGCCAACAAGGAGAGGTGCCATGCTTGACCTCATGCTGGGAGGGGCTCGTTGGAAATGTGACGCTCCAGGGCAGCCTTGGATGCAGCAATCATGAGATGGTCGAATTTGAGATCCTCAGGACAGTGAGAAGAGCGTGCAGCAAGCTCACTGCCCTGGATTTCAAAAGAGCAGACTTTGGCCTCCTCAGGAACCTGCTTAGTAAGGTTCCATAGGATATAGCCCTAGAGGGCAGGGGCGCCCAAGACTCTTGATTGATATTCAGCTCTGACCGCACCACCCAAGTCTTGGAAGGCAGACACAGGGACTGTGAGAATGAAGACCTTGGGCCCGCTGTAGGAGAGGATCTGGTTTGAGACCATCTTAAAAACCTGAACGTGCACAAGTCCATGGGACCTGATGAAATCCATCCGCGGGTCCTGAAGGAGCTGGCAAATGAAGTTGCTAAGCCACTGTCCATCATATTTGAGAAATCATGACAGTCAGGTGAAGTTCCCGATGACTGGAAAAAGGGAAATATAACCCCCATTTTCAAGAAGGGGAAAATGGATGACCTGGGGAATTACAGACCAGTCAGTCTCACCTCTGTGCCTGGCAAAATCTTGGAGCAGATTCTCCTGGAAGGCATGCTAAGGCACATGAAAATCAACAAGGTGCTTGGTGACAGCCAGCATGGCTTCACTAAGGGGAAATCCTGCCTGACCAATTTGGTGGCCTTCTATGGTGGGGCTTCAGAACTGATGGACAGGGGTAGAGCAGTTGATGTCATCTACCTGGACTTGTGCAAAGTATTCGACACTGTCCCACGTGACATCCTTGTCTCTAAATTGGAGAGGCATCAATTTGAAGGGTGGACCACTCGGTGGATAAAGAACTGGCTGGATGGCTGCACACAAAGAGTTGTGGTCAATGGCTCAATGTCCGGCTGGAGACCAGAAACAAGTTGTATTTAACATCTTCGTTGCTGACATGGACAGTGGGATTGAGTGCGCCCTCAGCAAATTTGCTGGTGACACCAAGCTGTGTAGTTCCGTTGATAACGCTGGAGGGAAGGAATCCAGAGGGACCTTGACACACTTGTGAGGTGGGCTGATGCCAGCCTCATGAAGTTTAACCATGCCAAGTGCAAGGTCCTACACCTGGGTCGGAGCAATCCCAGGCACAGCTACAGGTTGGGCAGAGAAGAGATTCAGAGCAGCCCTGTGGAGAAGGACTTGGGGGTGCTGGTCGATGAGAAAATGAACATGAGCCGGCTTCAGTGTGCGCTTGCAGCCCAGAAAGCCAACCGTATCCTGGGCTGCATTAAAAGGAGCGTGACCAGCAGGTCGAAGGAGGTGATCCTGCCCCTCTGCTCTGCTCTCGTGAGACCTCACCTGGAGTATTGTGTGCAGTTCTGGTGTCCTCAACATAAGAAGGACATGGAACTGTTGGAACAAGTCTAGAGGAGGCCAGGAGGATGATCAGGGGACTGGAGCACCTCCCGTATGAAGACAGGCTGAGAAAGTTGGGGCTGTTCAGCCTGGAGAAGAGAAGGCTGCGTGGAGACTTCATAGCAGCCTTCCAGTATCTGAAGGGGGGCCTATAGGGATGCTGGGGAGGGACTCTTCATTAGGGACTGTAGTGATAGGACAAGGGGTAATGGGTTCAAACTTAAACAGGGGAAGTTTAGATTGGTTATAAGGAAGAAATTCTTTCCTGTTAGGGTGGTGAGGCACTGGAATGGGTTGCCCAAGGAAGTTGTGAATGCTCCATCCCTGGTGGTGTTCAAGGCCAGGCTGGACAGAGCCTTGGGTGACATGGTTTAGTGTGAGGTGTCCCTGCCCATGGCAGGGGATTGGAACTAGATGATCTTCAGGTCCTTTCCAACCATAGCTATTCTGTGATTCTATGACTGGAAAAAGGGAAACACAACCCCCATTTTTAAAAAGGGAAAAAAGGAAGACCCAGGGAACTATAGGCCAGGCAGTCTCACCTTGCTGCCTATGAAGACCATGGAGCAGATTCTCCTGGAAATTAAGCTAAGACACATGGAAAATAAGATGATTGGTGACAGCCAACATGGCTTCACTAAGGGCAAATCATGCCTGACAAATTTGGTGGCCTTCCACAACGGAGTTACACCATTGGTGGATAAGGAGTGTGACCAGCAGGTCAAAGGAGGTGTTCCTGCCCCTCCACTCTGTTCTTGTGAGACCCCACCTGTAATACTGCGTCCAGCTCTGGGGCCCCCAACACAAGAAGGATGTGGGCCTGTTAGAGTGAATCCAGAGGAAGTCCACAAATATGATGAGAGGGGTGGAGAACCTCTTCTATGGAGACAGGCTAACAATTGGGCTTGTTCAGCCTGGAGAAGAGAAGGCGCCAGGGAGACCTTAGAGCAGCCTTCCAATACTTAAAAAAAAGTCTCCAGCCTACAAGAAATCTGGAGAGGGACTTTTTACAAGGGCATGTAGGGACAGAACAAGGGAGAATGACTTTAAACTGACAGGAGATTTATATGAAATACAAGGAGTAAGTTCTTTACTGGGAGGTGGTGAGACACTAGAACAGGCTATCCAGAGAAGTTGTGGATGCTCCACCCTTGGAAGTGTTCAAGGCCAAGTTGGATGGGGCTTTGATCAACCTGGTCTAGTGGGAGGTGTCCCTGCTCATGGCAGGAGGGCTGGAACTAGGTGATGTTTAAGGTCCTTTCCAACACAAACCATTCTGTGATTCTATGACCAATTTTCACAGTGGAGGAAAGTTTAGTGGAATAACACAGTGATGTGTACTGGGATTATATAAATAAAATAAGATGAAAAACTGGGTAAATAATGAAGTATGCTGATGATACTCAATAATTCAAGATAACAAAAATGCAATTTGTCTGCAAAGAATTCAGAAATATCTCATGATATTGAGCAACTGGATAATACCAGGGCAAAGTAAATTTAATTCTGACACTTGTGAAATATCATTGCTGTGGTTTAAGCCCAGGACAATCATGCATTAATAAAATAACATCTATGTGTGTTCACATATACACAGTGTTATAGCTGAGTTCTTGGTGTTATGTGGACAAGGCTCTGAAAATATCAATTCAGTGGCTGTCATCTGCCAAAGCAGTGTCTAAAGTGTTAGGAATCAGTAGGAAAGAAATCAAGGGTAAAAAAGAAAACATCATTGTGCCATTGTATAAATGTTTTGTGTTGCTCCAACCACCACAAAGAGGAATTAGTAGATTGAGGTGAAGTGCAGAGCAGGTAACTGGGATAACTGAGGTTTAAATAAAGCTTCCATACAGGAAAAATAAGGTCGCATCTACTTTAGAAAGTAATTAGGTGCTGAAGGCTGAACTGACAGATCAAAGCAATTGATGCTGAGAGCTCTACAACTGAAGGGAAATCATTTCAGGCTAGATTTAGTTCAGTCACCTGGGCTGAATGTCCTTACTACACATGGGGTCCAAAGCTGACTGTGGAACCAGTCATTGATTTAGACCCTTCTGTTTCTGGTAGGACTTGTAACATGTTTACAGCAACCCTGAAGCACAGGTTTTAGTTTGGTACAGCCAGAAGCAACCAAGAAATGAATAGTAAATGAAAGTAATTGCTTCAGACCTCACATTGAATAAAAATGCCAATGTAGATAAGGAGTAGTTGGCTTTTGTTCATTTATTTGTGGGGTTTTTTTATCAGTCATAGGATTTTCTTGTTCAAGGCAGAAGAAAGGTGATTGGAAAGGGCTATAATAGAGGTCTGTAAAATCAAAGAGTACTTGGGAAGGACAAACAAGGAATAATGATTCACTCTTTTTTCTAACATCAGAAGTAAAGATACCAAATGAAATTAGCAGGCAACAGACTTAAAGGAAAAGGAAGTACTTTTTCACACACTGCATAATGAAATTGTGGAACACATTACACAGGATGCTTGCAAGGCCAAAACCATAAATGAGTTCAAAAAGAAATTATACAAATTAATGGAAGAAAGGTCTGTGATGAAACCTGATAATGTAGATGCAATTTACAGAAGAAGTGACAGATTTTCTGAAGCTAGAACCACAGTTTACACTCCTTATTCTTTCTCCACTATCAGACACAGTCAGAGGCATGATGTTGCACTAGATCTTTGTTTTGGCCTCATATTATTCTCAGGGAACTATATCTCAAAGTTGCTGCTAGAGTGGAAAACCCAGTATTCAAAGTTCAGGCACAAAAATGTCATCAGATTACCCCTCACACGTTTGTGGTCTTAACAGCAATTCAGCTGTCCTTTTTGGTGCCTTCTGATGGTGATCTCTGATTATCACTGATGTGTGAAACAACTATTGCATGCATGTTCACAGTGGCTAACACCTTGGCTGGAACACCCTTCAGATGCCTTCAGTTCAGTTGCACTTTCTGAACCTGAGGAACAGTGTCTGAGAAGAGTAAAAACACTGAAAAAGTATTAGCAAAGACTTTGGATGTTCAATAACAAGTATTGAAAAACACTTGCTATTCAATACTTGCAATTCAGTAGCAAGCGTGGCCTAAAAAGCATCCATAAAATGGAACAAATGGTGCTGAGCTCCCCATATCTGCGCTATATGTGCTTGTCTGGGGATTAATTTAAACTAGCTTTAGTCTGATCCCAAGGATATGAATACTACTCACAATCGGATCACACTAAAAGCATTGCTGGAGCACATACTGCAGTTGAGTTTCATCCAAAAGGAATCCAGTTTGCATGCTCCAGAAATACCCCACAGTATGAACCAGAACTTAGTAGGAGTGTGGGGGGCAGTCAGGAGATTTACTGCAGAAAAACGTGCCTGATCCAAACTCAAATGCTTATATGGTACACCCACTGACTACTACAAGAAGGCTTTGTAAGGGGCTATTGTCAACGTGCCATAAGTTAAGAATTTATGCTACTGTGAACAATTAAAGTTTTCCAAATTATTCCCTTCTTTTTCTTTCCTCTCCCTACAATTTACATTTTGATTGTGTCGACCCATTTATTTAGTAGTTAATTCATTGCTCGTAAACTGAGAAATATGGCTCATTGAGCTTATAGACAATGTCATTTATTTTCCCATTTTTTAAGCACGAGCTTGAACTGTTTTGTCTTCTTTTTAAATAAAGCTTCCTAGACATCATCAAGAAGTCATATGTGGTGGGGGCACACCCATGAGATTACATGATGCCACAACCACAACATGCAGCTCTCAACATTCGTGCTAAACATACAAGGCACTAGGAGCAGACTGCTTGTGTATCTTTCCATTCAAAACTGTGTCCCTGTCATGCAAGCTACTATAGCTGTATATTACACAGGAATGTGTCTGCTTTCCAGAGTTGTGAAGGTGGGGTGAGATAGTGACTGAGCAGCCAGAGCTAAATTCACCATATTCACTTTAGGGACCAGTGTGTTTGCAGAATCCAGAGCAGCTTTTTGTGGGTGACATTCTTACTGGCAATGGTCATTAGCAACAGCAAACCTTAACAGAGGCTGATAAACCATTGGGAATCTGCCTTAATTTCAGGAGAGCTAACGTTAATGACAGGTTAACAACATCAAGTTTTAAACCCTACACCCGCTGCGTTTTTTTCTCTCTTGGCATGCACAGGCTGATACACAATCTCTCTGTTCCAACCTCATCTTAGAAACAAAGAAAAACCCATCACCAAGCAGTTAAACAACATAAATGATAGTATAGCAGAATGTCCACATTTGATTATAAATAAAATGTAAAACCATTACCCATGTATTTGTTTTTCACTGAAGAAGATGTAAGAAACATGCATGTAAAGAAAGCATAATCCACTTTGACTTCAAGCATCTTCCAGTTTGCAATATCTCATATTTTCTAGAAAGGGTAGGATGTGACCAACATGTCCATATGACATAATGAGCGGTGGGAATTATAGTTCAGTAATGCAGCACAGATAACCTAGTTCAGAGGCAATCATCAGGCTGATGAGCTGCAGTTTACAGGGGAGGAGTCAGTGCAGCCAGTGGGACTTAATAAGATAATCTAAAAAAAAAGTGCTTAACCTTGCTATGCTACCTCTTCATCTGAATGGAAACACATTCATATGCTGAATTAAACCAATGTGCACATCTTTATTGGTGACATAGATTGCAATTCCTTTAGTCCCTCAGTAGTGTGGCAGGATATGCAAGTTGAAGGCCAGGAGAGGGAAATTACCAACGATTGTGTGCCAGAAGCATGCTAAGAATAAATCTTCCCTCCCACTGTATATTGAATTTTATTTCAAACTGCTAGTAGAAGTAAATGACATTACACTTAAGTTCTTGTGAAGACAAAAAATTGTGTCATTTAGGTTAAAAGCCATCACAGTTCTACTAAAATTTTCACAACAAATATAAAATAATTTGCTATGCTAGTAATAATTCAGAGTTCTGGCTGAATCTAATTTAAACTTTTCCTCACAGCTGTACTTCCAAATTTCTTACGTTTGCAGTAGTTCATACTATCACATCAACCCAATAATTCAGATAAAACTGAAGTGGGGGAGGTCACATGCAGCTGGTCTTTGCTATTTAGATATATATATATATGCACACATATGTATATATATAAGTAGCAACGATACTCTTGCAACAGAGAAACAAAAAACAAATCTGTTGTGGTTTAATAAAAGGGGTGCTTCTCAAACTGTTTCTCAGGACACTCATTGAGTTGCAACTCGACAAGTTTCAGGACAACAAGTAATAGTGTAATTGCTTTCTCCAACAGGATTTCAGAGCAAGTAACAGTATACCCATATTATTCAGGCACAGAAAGTAAGAGCTTTCTCACAGGATAATGTGTCGTGCTGTGATTTTGCTTGCAACTGAGGGCTTCCCCCTTCCCCCCTTTATGGGAAGGGCAGCTGTAGCTTAGCAATGCATGGTGTTCACAATACTGCCTACACTAATACTCCCAGCCACATATATGAGAGTTGTGATGTTGAAAATCTGAATAACAATATACCAAGATCCTTATGATATTGTGATATTTAATTTACATCAAGAAGGAAAGCTGCTCTGAGCTGACGTTAGGGCTTAGCTGCTTCCACAATTTGCTTTTTTTTTTTCCAACCCTTCTCTACCCCAAACCTGAATCTTAATTGAAGGTCAAGTATTGAATCTGCAAAGATTAGGCTGCCTGTTTTCAGTGTCCTTTAGAAGTAAGTTCTCTTCTTCATGATGTCTAAGTAGATGGTACTATACTAAATGGCATCAGCTTCATTAACATTATCTCCCTTTTCTTGCTATAGCCTGATTGCAAATGTTCACAACAGTGTACTACAAAGAAAGGTAGGGTTTTAATGACGCTCTCAGGATATGATATCTGATCACCAATCCCACACTACACACCTTTCTACAAATAGCCTTGCAAACAGCTCCAATGTTACACATAAACCTTCATATTGGAGCACTATGTTCAGCAGTTCCTCATTGGAAGAAAAAGTCCCCAAAAATCTTACAGAAGCAAAACTCGGTAATGTGATGTGTAAAGCTCTGATGTGTAGAAAACATCCATTTATGAGATTTGCTTAATTCCGTGTTGCAAGTAGTAGGAAGGGATGGTGCATGCTTTTTGTCTCATTTCTAAATGCAAGTGCCCTCATAAAGACAAATAAAATGGAGTCTTACTGAATACCTGCTGCTTCAATTGCAGTTATCAATGTTACGGTATACTTTTCTTCCTATGCTGCTACATATTTATACCTTGTCAAAATGTTAACTTTTTTTTTTTTTTTTTGCTGTAGATCCTATGGATCTTTTAAAATTTACAAAGATCAAAAAGATTTTTAAAGTTTATTCTGTTTTTACATCTGACCAATCAGGCTTTAAATCTCTGACGTTCTAACATCTGAAAAAGGAAACCAACGATAAAAATAACAACCAACCACCTTGTCAGGATTCACATACAAGAGTAGGAAGTTGTTAGAGGCTGAATTTCTGAAACCTGAGTTGGATTCACAAAGCTGGCTGGAAGGAAATATTTATGTGCATTCTTTAGAAGATCAGCTCATGACAAATCCAAAGAGGAATGAACCTAGTGAGCTTGCTTCCTTTCTCATTTGTTATTTTTCATAATTGACTTCTATTAGATTGGATTATAAAGTAGACTCAAATTACTGACTCACCAATCCCAAGAAGGCAAGTCTTTAAAGTAATGAGATTAACAACTGTTGATCAAAGAAAATTACCATAGTTGCAAGGCTCTGCATTTGTTGGTGAAATATATTGTTAGAAAGTGATCACATGGGCTGGTTGAGTGGCTAGGTCAGGCTGGCCAACACAGACAGCTGCACATAGGAAGATTACTTCTACAGGAGCAGAGGTCCCCCCACAGGAGGTAACAGTTGGAACTCAGAAGTTCAAAGATTTCTTCATTTCTTCTTTCAGAGACACTAGAAAATGTAGCAAAAATGGGAAAGGAACTTCCCATAATGAGCAGTCTTTGCTCTGTCAAACTAAGCTCATCACAGTGTCTTTTATTATTCCAGAAGCTCTGCAAAGATCTCTGGGTCCATTGGGAGGCTGTGTGGTAATATCGGGAATTAAATGAAATGGTCTCTGGAGGCTGTGATTCTTCCCAGAGTTTCTGTGAAACATGCCACAGTAAATGCTCCAAAGCATCCTCAGGAGAGGG